TAACTTATACCCCCCCCCCCCTTTTACCATCGTCCGTGAAGCGAGAAAAATCAGCTATCAAAATAAGTTTTTCTCAGCTCAAATACGACCCCATTCTCCTGGCGGCTGAATAGACCCCCCCCCCCGTTGAGGATTCTTCAGTAACGATGCGCCCCGGTGACAAGGACTCAGTTGATAAGACTTGACAATGGGCGTTATGGGGATAATTTTGATAAGGAGCGTCGGAAGGAGAAAATTACCGTGTTCGCAGCGCATGTCACAGAAACAGCGAGGCGTTGGTTCTAGCAAGTGAGATAAAGGATGAGGTGAGGCCATCGATGGAGGGTGACAGAAAGATAACAACTGAAGGGGGCTGGTAAGGAGCGTTACCTTCGTCGCTGTTGTTCAAAGTGGTAGAGCTTCCACACTACCATATTAGGGATAGGGACATTGATGACGGGTGACAGGTAAACATATCATTGATATACCTGACCATTGATAGAAATAGATAAGATGCCATCTCCACTACATTACTTACCACTTCTTACCATAATACTGCAAAAGGCTCAGTGCGTGAATTGTTCCATAAAAACAGAATCAAAATCAACAGCTGAACAGTACTGTTCCTACCAGCATGTAATGATGTCGAGCAGGTAGGGGGAGGAAGGGGGTATTAAACGGTAAGATACAAAAAATTAAAAAATTAAATGGGTGCAAGTCGCAGTCAAACCAAAAGATGGAAGGGCATGCGAAGTTTCAGGAAATGGTGAAGATGTCATGCTGGTGGCAAAGTATCTACAGAGTTCTACAGTTTCATCATATGGTGCACGCAAGAGTGTTGTGTTAGAAATAGCAATATGATGTTATTGTTCAAGGGTATTGACTGTGGATACAGGTAAAAGAAAAGCCGGATAATAGTCGAGTAATGAAGTATGTGATAAAAGGTACACGCGGCGAAGTCGCACTCGCCCGGTAAAACAGGGCCGTTTCTCAGGAGGGGTGCCGGCATTAACCGACGAGGTGACTGTTGAATATCAGTGATAAGAACACTGAAAAAGGATAAGAAGTGATGATATGAACTGCTAAAGACAGGCAGTAGGTTGTCCGGATAGATTTCAGAAAATATTGCTCTTCTAGTTTAAAGAAGGAGCGAACGCGCTTGAGCAAAATCGTATACCATACCCATTGAGAAAAAGGACTGTTTCTAGACAGGGCACATCGTTGTTGAGAAATCCCCAACAGAGGGTCGTATTTGGGCTGAGGAAAATTTATTCTGATAGTTGGTTTTTCTCGATTTACAGACGTTGGTGGGGGGGGGGCATACTTGCTCATTGTTGAGAGGAGAGGGCCTTCAAGGAGTGGTGGGAGTGGTGGCTGACTTCCGTGATTTTCTTGTTTCATGTGTAGTATACACTCCCTTTGGGAAAAAGTAGGTGCTTTCGGGAAATTTTGGAAAAACTGGCAGGAAGTTGGGGAAAAGTTGAGAATCGGTAGAAGGGGGGGGGGGAGGAAGGTTCGTTTCTGGCAGGAAGTTGGGGAAAAGTTGAGAATCGCTAGAAAGGGGGGGGGGAAAGGTTCGTTTTATCTCGCAGCTTTTCGTGTTTCACATGTGCTACTTACCCCTCCCCCCCACCCTCACCCCGATCGAAGGCTCGATTCGATGGTGAAGGACAAATGGCCGAACGGGAGGGGTCGTACCAACCCTCCAAAGAAAGGGGAGGAAGGGGAGGTCGTACGGACTCGACTAAAATCCCCAACGAATGGTGTGCCCTGTTTTTAGATCAATCATGATGCTGGGTGGTTTTATTTTCCATCTTCGGTAGGAGTTAACACTGAAAAATGTACGAAGGTCACGACTCCAACAACTTTTTCTCACCTCCGCCGTCTGGCTGCTTATCAAATTGGGGATGAGAAGCTGTCACCGATGTTGAATAAAATGCCCTCCAACGTTAAATGCAGTAGGAGTTCGATCGCTTTCCCATGTTGCGTACTCCCCACTTTTTCGGTACTCACTACATTCTAACCCTCACGCGAAGTAATCCTTCCAAAGGTTAAGGGGACAATTTTCAGCATAACTATCGATTCCTATCTCTTGCTGTCGTTGGTAAGGGTTGAATGCACTGATTGGAATTTCTCGAACCTTTTCGGACATCCCAATAAAATCATGTTCACTACATTTTGTGCTAGTACCTACCACTATTTCGGCAAGCACGGTGTGTGAACTCTTTCCTTTAGCCATCAATGGATTCTACACCAAGCACCTTCATGAACAGAGCAACGTTGAGTTCTCCTTTCCACGGCCGCCACAGTCGACAGTCGTGCCTCTTCAGGAGTTAACAAGGCTACACAGCTCATCCGGGCTGCCACATCTTCAACCCTTTCTCATATCGCAACTGCGGTCGTCGATTAAATGGTTCAGTCTTCTCCCAACAGCCAGTTCAACAGCAGAAAGCCGACGAATCAATGAGTTTACAGATTGGTGACTACCAACAAATCGATTTGTACCTCATCGTTTCCACCTATTTTGTTCTCCGCACGTTACGAAGGAGGCCAAACAAGTGACCTTCATTTCACAGTTTCCAATCGCGTATTCGGTCGACGTCTTTAAAAGGTGCTGCTTCTCCAACGCTACACTCATGCATGCGTATTCACATACTTTGCAGATGTGGACCAGATTCCTCACCGTTATACTTGTCTTACTGCTCATGGATGAAGCTATCCCCAAATGGGGAGGACTCAGGAGGACGCGGTGGAGGATGGGGCGACGGTGGAGAGGGCCGAGAAGGGTTGTGTTGGAGGAAGACGTCCAGGTGGCGGGGAGGAAAGGGCCGTCAGAGGATGGGAGGAAGACGTCCAGGAGATGGGGAGGAAAGAAGACCAGGAAGCTGGGACGGCATACCGGGAGGATGGTCAGGTCGTAGCTGGGTGAGTTCTTTCTACCGTTGAAAAATGAGAAGCATAATAAGTTCAAACCATGCCCTTATCAGCAAGTTTCGTGGAGTATTGGCGGGTAATCATGTGCTCTAAACAGCTATCTGCGCATTTTAAACTAAGAACATTAATTGTCGACAGTATCCAGAATAGAGGTGTAATCGACAACGAGTAGGAAACGGCGGAAGTGCATTTGGGCCAGCCTTTAAAAACACTGTGAATGCGTTTCATGGCTTGTCAAACAATGGAACCGCTTCATCAACCCCTGTGTCGCTAATCTGGCACACACAATTACGAGCACTGAATTTAGTCCTGTGCCTGCTGCGGTCTTCTTGAACACGTTAGCGTTTTACCTGAGCGGTGCTTCCTGAACGAGACGACCGCTTTCGTGGCAGAGGAGGTGACTCGCTTGTAAACGTGAGCGGGTGGAGCTGAGACAAGGCAAAGATCCCCCCACTGGGCACGCCGCGCCAATGTCTTAACGGCGTTTTCACTTATCGAGTCATTTTAATTGACCTATTATTTCGATTTACATTAAATAAGGCTCGCGTCAGCCCGCAATGTCAATACCCTCAAACACAACTACACCCTCCTCCCTCCGATGTGATCCGGTGCCTGAGTCAGCGAGGTCGTTGATTTCTCTGCCACTGTAGACCCCTGAATTGACAACGCCATACACGGTAATCCTAGGGGATTAGGTCAGGTGACACACTTAGATATTCCGTCTTCTTCAGGTCCCCAATGCCCTTCGCTCCCACAGAAGGCGACGCTTTTTTGATTTCATGTGCTGGCGTCAGTCCTGTAGCAGTACGAAGTTCCCACTATGGTACAGGCGATGACATGAAGGCAAGATAGTTCTCCTCATGCTGTCTGATGTAACAAGCTGCGTTCACTTTCGGTCCGGAACTCACGAAGTGACAATATCGTCTTCTCACCGTCCAAGCAACTTCCACACCATCATCCGAGCCTTGACGAGACGACTGCAAAGAAGCTGATATCCTGGACGATAGCGACGCTGTCGAAGCTGCTTGATTATGGAGGTCATCCAGATTGAGAGTGCTGGTCCTCAGGTAGCAATCTATGGGTAACTCCTTACGAGTGTCTGGTATCTGTTTGGAGAAGACGCGAACTTCATAGGCATTCGTCAGTTCGGGTGTGATTCAGGTGGCTCCATATTTCGATGTACACGAATGTGACGGGCGAGAGCCTACTCCTGCTTATCGGGGAACATCTTAAGTATTTTCCGCCTTGGTACTAGTATCCACGTCTTCTGACTAGGCTGCGTGAACTTCACTGATATATGCCTCGGGCGTAGTGTCCTTTTTTTGCCCGACACCCTCCTCTCTAGACTTACTACCGTTTGAGACGATCAGACAAAACGAGGGCACAGCCAAGTCACGACCTGCTAGCGTTTTTGCCGTGCACTCTCTGTGTGACAAAAAGGTGTGTACTGCTGTAGGCATACTCGTCGTTTACGGAGAAGGGATCCATACGGAATGAAAACACGAGAAACTATCCTCTCCTTTGAGCGTCTCTCGTTCCCACCTGGAAAGGAGCGATGCATCAATGAGAAGGCACAGTCGTTCACTGCCTCCGCCCCCCCCCCCCTGATGCGTTTCACACTTTTCGCGTGGTAGCAGGGCACTATGTATGTTGCCTCGGCGTTCTAATGGAAGCGCGCCGAGAAAATCCAATTCTCGGCGCGCTTCCATTACAACGCCGAAGATCCCAGAAATCTGGCATTTCGAACTTCACTAGTACTCATAGTAGTGTTTTCCGCACCAAATTGTTTGTATTGAACACAGAAAATTTAGGTTTCGCACAGGTGCCGGCCCTGGTTCGTATTCAAGTGGCCATTCATTCAGAAATGCGTTCTCAGGCGGAGCTCTGCGAGCTGTCGGAGGTCAGTGTTACACATTATGAATATTTAAATCGTTTACATCATCAACAACAACATCAGGCGCAGTCCGGCGACAGAGGGGGCATTTCGCACCTTTGCTCTTTCCCATCCGTGTCGACCTGTCTGACACCTTCTTTTTGAGTTGACAAGTTTTACCATGATGGCTTGGCAACTTTGCTCCAGCTTCAGAAGAGTTCACAGGTTTCGCCAGAGTGGGACTTGTAGACCGGAACTAAGGGGGCAATGACAGTACAAAATGCCCCCCCCCCGTTAAAAAAAACTGAACCACAAAACCATCCGTTCCCATATGTTACTACCCATGCGTGCAGTATGATCTAAGATGCGGTGGACCTGCGAGAGTGGCACTGCAAGCTTCGCGGCATCCTAAACATGCTGCCTCGTCTACCTCTAATAAAGGGAATATGACGGCACACAGGGTAAACAGTTGATTCAAAGACACATTCCACGCTGATATATGGGCGTAGAAGAGTTCAAGTTGACTGCCTCTTTCCCCCTTCATCACCTCAGAAGGACGGGCGCACTATGGCTAACGAATTATCTTCGTCTTTATCAGTGTCCTCTCGCTTATCACGATATCTTCCTTTGAGATGAAACTTCTTGAAGGCAGTGGGCACGACCGCTGGAGGCAGGCGATCATTGCCAGCGTCATTGGTAGAAGGGAAGTTGGTCCACAGAGCTTTAGCAAATTGGCCAGACGCCCTCCTTCAGTCCCTTCACCAATGTTGCGCACAACAACCGTCCCCCTCTAGTAATCGTCCCCGTCTCTAAGAGTTATTGAAAAGTCGGCTCAAAGAGGGTATGTCCTAAACAAACACGGGTCCCTGGACGAAACTTAGCCAGAACCAATCATCAGTGTTGTAGGTATGCTGGCATTTGAAGCAGGCAGATACATCATTCAATCCATGACTACCCCGTTCTCCTACAGAGGCCGGGATTACTACTTCGATAAGCATCCAAGAATGAGGAATGACCTGATACAGTGTTCAGTGTCTCCCGAAGAGTTGAAACAGGTCGAAAATTGTTTAGAAACTTCATCCATTCTCGAACATACAAAAAGGGGTACATTTTGAGAAGTAGCCTTTTTTCGTTCCAGCAGTACGATTAAGTCCTTTGAAGACACAGTCCACGCTGGTCGCAGAGGCGGAGCCAGGCCAAGCATCGCGCTTTTGTCATTGACTTACCCCTCTACCTTACGTCTTTGCTAGAAGTGACGCACCAATGAGAGAGGCACAATTATTGCCGGGCTCCACCCATAACGATAGCGTGGATTGCTCCTTCAAAACCCCTCGAAATAAATCGTCCTTCTCCATTTCAGCTGTCCGGTGAGTCCGTGAGAGCAAAACGCGAACCGCCCTCGTCATCGAACACAACATCACTACTCACTACCATTCCAACCCCGTCGACAACGATGCAACCTGATAAAGTTTTGGATAGCGTGAGTACTATTTAGTAAGGGCATATCTCCGTAATCATCCAGGGCTCGTCAGGAGGCATGAAATGGGTTCCACCGCGGCATTACTATCGCAAGTGGTTGTTTCCTGAAGCGATTAGTACTTGTGGGAAATGCAGTTGCGAGAAGAGTTGGTGAACGGAGAGGGTAGATGCGCTTTCAGCCTCCTGAAACTGCTCCAACTGCTTGCGACAAAATTAATTCCGAATGTCTCAGTGTGTATCCAAAACCGCGTGCCTTCTAGGTGTTCTGGGTTCGAGCACATCATCACGTTGTGGGAGGTCTCACCGAGCACGAGTGAGTGCCGCTCCCCTCCTCCCCCGTCTCCAGCCAAATTTCTTCCTTCAGTCAGGGTCCCCTTTCACAACCTACCATCTTACCAAATCCTACTGGATTCTTCGAAAATTTTTGTTGCTGTCGGAGAGCATAGCGCAGCGGAACTGTTGCAGTAGTAAGTTCCATGTTCGCCTTTCTTGTAACCTGGGCATTTTATACTTATAGTTCTAATAACTATAAGTATCAAATGCCCAGGTTAAAAGAAAGAAATATTTGTTGCGGTAGTTGAACTTTCCCTTATCACGCGTGCCGTCACTCGAAATACTGGAGAATTCTAGAAATTTGGCGGCCGAATTTGACGAGGAAATTTTGAAGGGTGTAGTAACACAAGTCACCTCCCAGTACTGTGTCCTTTCCTAAAGCAGCTGGAGAACTCTCACAAAAGGAAAAAAATAAGGAATAAATAAGGAATGGTCAAAGGAAATAACACGAAAACACAGGGGAAATAGGGTAGAGAACCGCGTAAACTGCCGCCACGCGCGGCACTGGCGCGACGTTTTCCCTAATTTGCATTACCCTTCCGATTGGAGCATCGGATTACACGTATACAAGAACACTGCAGACGCCTATGTCTATTTTTGGTCACACACTTGTCTGTTCTCGATGATGAGCTCTGAAAATCGCTGTCATTAGCGGGCGCGACGTCGCACGCGACGTCCACTGGCGCGGCGAATCACGTGTCACATACCCGGAAATACCATACTAATACACAATACCAACACATACCAATTACCTAATTATCGTTTTTGCAGATCCTCGTCAGTACAATACAGGAACGGTACGCAACCACAAGTTATTACGTGGGCATGTCGTAAAGATGTTGAATTATGTTGTGGTACTGACTGCTGTCCTGCGGACGATGATGAAGGCCTGAGCAATGTTGGTATGTGGATTGGGTGAGTCACTCGATGGTACATTCAACCCAACTGGATCATATGGGCCATCCCGTTGTAGCATAATCGCTGCCATAGCTCTAGCTGTATGCTGCTGTGGTGTTTTGTGGTATATGATCTGCAATGGCAAAGGCGGTTTTGGCGGTAAGTACTATCTTTTCTAGTTGTTATCGGGTCTTTTTCTACCAATGAGCTGGTCGGAATTAAGCTTGTAGAAGCTCTATGAATTCACCACCCACCAACAGCCTCAGCAGTAGACTTCATGCAGGAGTAAAATGATGTTTCAAGCTACGGATCTTTCTACAGCAGCTTCCAGGGGTTCCTTGGGCAAGCATGAGCCGTGCACATGCAGCTTTCCAGTAACACACTTCATATCACTGAGAGGGAGAGGGCGTGGCGCTCACTATGAAAGTGGCGGGGGCTGACCTAGTGGTGGAATCTTCTTTTGTGAGCCAGTTGTACTCATTAAATTGGACAGCTCAATATGGGTTGACACATGTTTCATATGGGAATATCCGTGGGAAAAACGCTTCCTACTCCATGATCCAGAAAAGTACGCAGCCACGCCCAGAAAACTCCCCGATTTCGAGTGTGGTCAGATTTGGATGGGAGCAAAATCGAACTGGAGCTCGCAACGACTAACTCTTTCTCGTTGCCCCTTCCTTCTCTTATGACCAAGACAACACAGACGAGGAAAGCACAACAGGCATGAGGGGACAGTAAGGCAATAGTAATACTGTGATGGGCGTGGTCAGCGCGTCGCGCCCGACAGACGAGTTGTCCTGCCTAGTTGGTTCAATATGAGTGCCAAGAAGAGAGGAAAATTTGATATCGCACGTCATGGGGTTTTCTTTCGGCTCGGCTTCATGCGAGTTCGCTGCTATAATTGACAAACTGATGCACATAAAGAATCGCGGTGCATGGCACAAATGCACAATGCAGCATGTGCTGTGGCGCGGCTTATCATGACTGGCTGCTCTGCATCCACTTGTCAGTCTCCGCCCATCTGCTTAGCTGAAAACCGTGTGATTCTGAAGGGAAATCCAATAACTGAGCATAATAGCGCCAAAAATCACTACCCATCTTCTCACCCCAGAAGTGATCGACGAAACGTCGTCTTTCTAGTTTCGCGATCTTTCCCCATGAAACACTCAAAGTGCTCAATATTTCAGGCCAGCAGCCCGGGCATGTTGCCCAATATGATTCCCATTATCAACAAGACGATTACTTCTCCACCGCCGTATCACCCTGACGCATATGCCTATCAGGGATATCCACCACAAGTGTATGGACCCGAAGGCTACCCACCTTATGGTTATCCTCCACATTACTATCCACCTGAAGGCTACCCATCTCCAGGTTATCCTCCTGAGGGCTATCCACCTGAGGGTTACCACCTGGAAAATTTTCTCCTAACCATCTGTTCAAAGATCAACAGCCCAGAAGCCAGAAAGCTGATCGAATTATGGAGCAGCAGAAAAGAGTGAAGGCCTCAAAAGGTTTGAAATCGAAAAAGGAGCAGAAATCGACGGAAAGTGTGCCATCTTCAAAACAAATGGAGCCAAAATCAAACGAATAATAGAGAAAGCAAAAAAAAAACTAGTGCATCGTAGTAAATTCATACATAAATCTTTTTAAAGTGCATTCCTCATCAAAACTATTGTTATATTCACCGGAAGGACAATTTCACTCATTCTACTTGTACACACAGATTTCAGTTCTTATTGTGATATTAGGAAGAGCAAAAAGAAACGAATTCCGAACCTTCGGAAGCGACAATCACAGAATCGGAATTAACACTCGCTATGAAAGCAATTCACGTACACATGGATTCACTGCATATGGCGCGTTAGGGGGGTTGGATTGGCACGCCAGCCCGTGCTCCACCAGTTGTTGAAACGGGCAAGCGACAACAAGTGGTAGAAAACGCGCTGGCACCGCACCAAACCACCAACCACTCCACTGAAACACAGTGCCTGCAGTAATGAATCCCGTAAATGAATCCAGTTGCCAGAGCTGAGTGCATCATCAACGACCGAGAAAAAATGCTCGAGAAAGGACTGCTAAGGTAGTTGGTGCAGAAAATACTATCGTTCTGCGAATCCTATCAGGGGGTTGTATCTGGTCGCCGATCTGGGGGAGGGCGGGGAAGGGTATGCATGGTGTTGGGGAACTTCTCGACCATTTATTTTCCCGTTTCAGGCGCGCTTTACTATATACAGTCGTCATCCTTACACTTGATAGGGGCGTGTCGGCGAGAAGGATCGTGCACACTGTTTGAAGCCTTCTCAGCCTTTTCGTTGAAACGCGTATGCGACAAAAAGTGATAGAAAACGAGTAACACGAAGGATATAATACAGTAATGTCACTTCCTGATTCAACGATTGATGCAGTAAGGGTGCGGGCGAGCGCGCCGCACGCAGCCGCACTGACATTGACTATCAAGTGCAAGGATGACGACTGTACCTGCCGCTCCTCGCTCGACATGAAATTGTGGGAAAACTTGTTAAAAGCAAAGGTGTGTGTCGCAGCGGTATTGCACAGGACTGCGAAAGGCGATATTCTGGCGCGCTATCTTGCACGACCCGATGATATACCCTTGGTTGCAGGTAGCCATAGAGGTTGATGCCGCTCGAGAGACCCACGTGACGACGGCGCGCATAAACTGGTGCTGGTTTTTCTTAAATAAACGTGCTGTGGCACTCGCAGATCACCTCCGTTTCTGGCCCTTACCATGTGCGAGATGAACAGGTCCACATTGTGCCTTTTCTCCAGTCGAAGGCGTGCCATTGTGAGGCTGGAGGGTAGTGGTGGGTTCATGCTCTGGGACTCCTACCTTAAACGCTACCACCCATATACCTAATCAACACGACTAACTGTGCTTCTTGTCTGCGTCCTCTGGTCTGGCAGAAAGCTGTTATTTGTCTTCTCAAACAACACTACGCTATCTACGCTTAACTGCGATCGACAGCTTGCCCTTCATGTTGTTCGCTGCGGGACGTCAGCATATGCTCACATACAATCCTCATCATTACGGACTGTCGGCGCGTGTCAGTGCGGCTGCGTTTGGTGCGGTACCGAAGTCGTTCTGCACCAATTGTTGAAGCGGGCAGGTTAAATTACTGTATTATATTCTTCGTATTACTCGTTTTCTACCACTTTTTGTCGCATACGCGTTTCAACAAAAGGCTGAGAACGGCTTCAACAGTGTGCGTACTCCCACTGGCTGACACGCCCGACAGTCCGTAAGGATGAGGACAGTACCGCATGTTGTGAACGTGTGTTGGAGAGTCAAAAGACATTCACCCTTCACTACCTTCTCGCTTGATTTTAATGCGCTTTCGGAAGGCGAAAGTGGCACAATCCTACAGCTGCCGACCAGCTCATCTCTCACATCACCCGGACCCACCTCGCAGGAATTGTTCAGATTCACTGGCACGGAATCAATCATTCAAGCTAGACGGTACTCCAGTCCATTATTGGCTAGGGATTTTGGTCGAGTTTTCTCACTCTAGGTGTGGCTTGGTACGACCTCTTCCCCCCAATTCCCTCCTCTGATACGATCGAGGTGTTAAGCGCAAGAGGAGAGGGTTCATAATGGTACATGTGAAACAGGAAGAACCGCGAGAATTCAAGGAGCAAGGGATTTTTTCCAAGTTCCGCGATTTTCTCTCAGAATTCAAATACGGCTCTCCCCTCTCCCTACAACGAAGCACCGCTACTCCGATAGTATCCAAGAAGAAGCAAGAAAGATCATCTTTCAGAAATTTTTTCAAACCAAGTACGACCCCACCCCTCCCTCAGCTCCTCGTTTCCTTGACTTTACGCAATGAAGCCAAACTTCCCCATATTCACACCCAATCAAATATTGAAGAAGAATACAAACTTATCATGAGTAAAGAAAAAACAAATACAGTCCCATCACGAGCCTGTCCAAATTTGGGCATGAAAGACCAACCGGGCGAAAGGAGTGTGGATAGATAGGTGCAAGGAAGGTTGTAGTATTATGGCAAGCAATAACGATAAAAGGAGATCAAACGGTCAAGTGACCTGCACTATGCTTACTCAAAAAAGTTGAGAGAACAGTAAAGAACTTATTCCACAACCCCTGTTCGCAACGATATTTCAATTCCTGGTATAAAAATCTAGTTGGGAAGAACACGGTATCGACTGTTTTCCCTGACTAATTCTCCACCTTTTTTTTCTTTTTCAAACTCTTCAGGAAAACGTAAGCAAACTCTATGGAGACATGAATAAAGCTTCGACAAAGAGGAGCGGCGGCACTATTTACCTTTTGTTGTTCCAGTCATCCAAAACCGAGCTAATGTTTTGACCAGCTTCTTCTCTGGGGACAGACTTGGTTTATAAGATGATTCCTTGGCTAGGTTGACCTCCCTAACTATATCACATCCGCTTGGTCCGAAACCTCCTGGTGGCCTGTAGCACAGGCTCGAATCGCTTTCGTGAGGAGCAGTGTGCTTGGGCAGTTAGGGAAATAGTGAAGGGAAGCAGCAATCTTCCTGGTTGCATGCAATAGTGATCCTTCCCTCCTTTGACAAAGGAGGATTTTCAGGTCATGGAGCGCTTTCCAGAAATGATTGGTTGCATGTTGTAGTGGTCCATATAAGGATCACAAAAACGGGTTTCGTTTTTGCTACGCATTTCTGGGAAGGTCAACAAATGGGTGAAAATTTGCTGAGGAAAAAGCGATTCCAAACCATTTTTCTAGGCTCTTCTATTTCTAATGTCGAGCCTAGCAAGTGAGAACTTCGTCGAAATTGCATCGAAAGCAGTGCAAGTTAATGTGAAAAAAGTACTTTATTTGGCACACACTGAGATTGCATTGGTGGTGAAGTCCGTTTCTCCAAGTGGTGCCACCAGGCACTGCCCGCTTCAGCGGGTTGCTGATCACGGACGGTTACGACGGCAGGTGACAGGCCTTCGTGACGGGCCGACCTACGAAAACCCCATGCCACATCACAGTGTTTAACCATGCCGCCTGATTTC